AAAAATCTTCTTCTCCAGTTCTAGAAATGCTAGAATCAAATACTACCCATAGCTGTAAAGGCATTTGGGTGGTTTATAAAATTTGTGATTTATATAGGAAATAGACATGATGGGCCATATCTTCCATTGTTTTGAAAATAATTTGTTCATATTTAAGAGAAATACTCATTGGTTGAGGAGGGTCTGCTGATATAAATCGTGTGAGCCTGCCCCCCCTAGGGGGCTGAATAAGGGGCCGAAAAGGGGGGAATTTAGGGAAATTTCAAAAATCTTCTTCTCCAGTTCTAGAAATGCTAGAATCAAATACTACCCATAGCTGTAAAGGCATTTGGGTGGTTTATAAAATTTGTGATTTTCATGTCTCCCAGGGCCCCCGTTTGCCCCTGAGGAGGGGGTAAATTTAGTATAGTTTATATAGGAAATAGACATGACCGGCCATATCTTCCATTGGTGTGAAAATAATTTGTTCATATTTAAGAGAAATACTCATTAGTGGAGGAGGGTCTGCTGGTATAAATCGTGTAAGCCTGCCCTCCTAGGAGGCTGAGTTAAAGGCCGAAAAGAGGGGGGGGGATTAAGGGAAATTTCAAAAAAAAAATTCTCCCGTTCTAGAAATGCTAGAAACGAATACTACCCATAGCTGTAAAGGCCTTCGGGTGGTTTATACAATTTGTTATTGTCATGTCTCTCAGGGCCCCTGTTTGCCCCTGAGGAGGGGGTGAAATTGAGTATAGTTTATGTATGAAATAGACATGACCGGCCATATCTACCATTGTTTTGAAAATAATTTGTTCATATTTGAGAGAAATACTAATTATTGGAGGAGGGTCTGCTGGTATAAATCGTGTGAGCCCCTCCCCCTAGGAGGCTGAGTTAGGGGTCGAAAAGGAGGCGAATTTCAAAAATCTTCTTCTGCAGTTCCAGAATTGCTAGTATCAAATACTACTCATAGTAAAATTTAAAAGACAATTCGACAAATGAACAGCCATCACATACTTTTTTATCTCCAACCCAACTAATGTGCTATTAATAGTAACAACCTTAATTCTTTATGAATTATAAAGTCTCCATAGTAACGCTTCCAAGTTATTACCCTACATGTCTAAAGTGGTTACAAATTGGCATTGCAGAGCAAATGTTAATAATGTGCCATGATTGCTTAAATAACCAGGTGAGCGATACAGCACCAAAGTTTCCATGTCCTTGGTGTTCGTGATCTCATGCAGGTGTTTGCTGGAGATTTTTTTTGACCAGAATATAGTCATATAGGAGCACAGATAGTCCACAGCTGTTATAAAGTTTGAGCATGGTCTTTTTTGAAAAGTCTGTTGTTTTCCAGATGTTGCCTAATCTAATGAATGCTGATCTATTTCTAAACATTTTCTTCAGGTTGGTAAGTATGGATTATGAGAAGTTCTTTTTTCACAACCAATAAAATCAAAACGTCACATAGATTTTTTTCTAGTTGTGTAAAAAGAACTTTTCATAACGAATGGTGATCAAGCTTTTCCTATTCTGGCCTTTTTTTAAGCATTGAACTATTTTTGTATAGCATTTATGATATGTTTGAATGACACAGCTTCGCAAACAAACAACGCGTATTATGATTTGTTTGCTTTGCAATGGTGTGTCATTCAATGCTTATATTTTTTAGCTTGCAAATTATATTTAACGCTAAATATTTCCGCCTTACCGACAGTCTGCACAAATTTGTTCAATAACTGGAACAGCGAATTGTCGCGTGCAGATTGGCTAAGAATTGTGTCTCGTGGTGCATGTCATTTAAAGTTCCATCGAACGACACAGAAATATAATTCTTTCTGCACCACTTTCCGTGTTCTACAACTTCCTAGGTAATTAAAGGAGTCTACTGTGGTCAGTTGTTCCCTTCTACAAATATGGCAGGCAATCTTTCTTTGATGAGGTACATTAACTTTGTCTTTTTTTAATTGATCTTAAGACCAATCATCTTAGCATTTTCTTCTATAAAATCCCTCTTGTTCTTACGTTTTACTGTCTTACCGTCTTGTTGCTTTCTATATATTTTATTCGTAAAATAAATAATAAGTTTACAAAATATTGTATATGTGAATATATGTATTACATGCACGATACATGTACTTGATCATGAGTTCCCGCAGGTAAGTTTTACAGGTAGATTCACCTGTTGGACCTCGGACACTTTTTTAAGAAAAAGACTACCTGTCTAACCCCTATCAAAACAAGTTGCCCTACAGGTAAATTAAAAATCTTGGCACTCAGAGATACACCCCATCCAAGGTATATATTCTGGTTGCAATATAATAAACTAGGCATTTTGTTACTTTTGTAGTGAATGAAGGTTGTAGCCTTTCAAGGGGGTGGAGGGTCAGGGCTCTAAAGAGGACAATCTGATTATTTAAATATTGACATGACTACATGTACACCTTCAGCAATGTTTGTCAGATTCGTCTTCATTTAACATTTGATATAACAAAGGAATGATGAACGTGTAAAAGTGAAATTTTAACAATGAAAAATAACTACATTACATAACTCTGGTGAACCTTTGGGGCTTTTGTTCCAGCATAAAACGATCTTACAATACAGGCAAAATAATGTGTTTTGAAATATTTTGTTACGTTCAATAGAATAAAAATATATATGATGTAGCATGTGACCTTTAAGATATCAGTTCCGTGTAATAACAATTCTAGATGAAAGTTGAATTAGCATGAAGAACGAACAATGAGTGTCCGAAGATGAGTTAAGCACGGTCAAAACTGTATATACGTATTCAATTAAATGATTCCTTTATTTCAGTCACAACGAGCTGATCAAATACAAAAAATGGAAATAGACATACGAAAGCAACACGCAGATATGATAAAGAAAATACACGGATATATTTCACCAATGTTATCGGAAACTTGGGATCTGTTTCGAAATGGTCTGACTCCACATCTTACGAGACGCGAAACACACGGTTCAGATGTGACTTTTGTAGGCCATATCTGTGAGAGCCTTCTTCGTAAGGATATCATCAAGCACGGAGAGTACAGTGTCCTCTTAGAAGTTGTCGACTCCACAGACGTGCGTGCCGGCGATATAGTCAGAAGAGCTACAACAGCCATTAAAGACATCAAGCTGAAGATATCCGCTCTAAAGTCCGAAGGTTAGAGGAATACATTTCATTAAGGGAATGAAAGACATTTTTAATTGTGTTCATACTGGTATGAACGCATTCAACTTGCCTACATATTTTATGAACCGCGCTTCATCTTTGATTGACAATTATTTGTCAACGTGTATATATTACCATTAAAATATTCGGCTAAAAATATTCCTGCTAGCGAGATCCAATTTCAAATTGATGACCTGCTTTTTCTAGAAACCCTTTTATAAGAAAATAGCGGTAAAACAATATCATTCTCGTTGTACAAGCTTAAGCAGCAAAACAAACCAAACGATATTCTTATAGAATCAATTAAGTCACTAGAATCCATTGACAACATACATTTCGAACAAGTCGAAAAAAAAGGAAAAAAAGCAGAATTAGAAAATATAAGGCGACATAAAGTAACGGGAAGTATATTTGTTCGCTCAAAAGCTAAGTGTGAATAGGAAGGAGAAAACCAGTTTATTTTTTTTCAATATCATAAAACATAAATGATACTTCAAAAAATTCCCGATGTTTGGTAAAGAAAAAAATTGTGAAAGTATTAGGGAACAGGAGGATATTTTAATGAAATTAAATGTTTCTATGAACCGTTATTTTTCTAGTGTGGTGATATTGAAGAAACTGATTAAGATGAGTTTTTTAGATATTGATGTAAATCATATTCCTAACCTAAACAAGACTGAATCTTTGATTTTAGAAGGCAATATTTCTTTTGATGAAACTTCCCGTATTTTAAAAAATATGAAACAATAAAAGTCCAGGGACTAATGGTTTTACTGTTGAATTTTAAAAATGTTTTTGGGGACAATTAGGTAACTATGTTGTGAGATCATTAAACTATGGATTAATCATGGTAAACTCTCCGTGACCCAAAGACAGGGAATTATAACATGTCTACCCAAGGAAGATAAACCCAGTCAGTTTTTGAAAGAATTGAAGGCCTGTTTCTTTGCCTAACACAGTTTATAAAATAGAAATTTAACATGAAAACAGATCATACACTTTATAAGAAAAATAATTTCGCTGGAAGATATCCTTAATATGAATATATACTTTCCTTATTTACCTATTAATTTGGAAATATATATTTCGAAAGAGAAAAGGGAATAAAAAAAAATTATAAAGTAAAATGATCAAATAATTTAATCACAATGGGAAGAATAAAAAAGGATGATTTTTTTTTTATTTTAACGATGAAATATGGAGATAAATCTAAAGAATTTCCTTTAAAGTTACCCGAAATACAACATTGCAATGGCCTCAGATTAGAATTAATAACCATATCTTAACTACTAAATTATCTTTTTTAAAATAGGCCTTGTTGATTATCTTTATTATTTCATTGTAATACTTGTAAAAATTGTATGCTTAAAAAATTTCGAATTTTGATTAGATTTGCTATTAATCCCATTTGCTTTTTATAAAGCGTTTTATCTTTTGTCTCTGTGATTGACAAAAAGCAACGTAGATAACTTAATAATTCGAGTTATAAAGCTTTATAAAATTAATTAAGGAAATATATAATACTCAAAAACATATTGATATAGGTAAAAGTGACATTTATCTGAAGAAATGGAAGACATTGGATAGATTATTGCATATCACATAGCAAAAATATCAATCATGATATAGAAGGGGAAATGTTTGTTATCCCTGGTTATGATTGTAAATATATGTCTTTTCACATTCATTTCATACAACTGAACTTATAGTAAACCAGTGTCATGTCTAAAGACACCATTTCCTTCATTCTTTCTTGTCTTATCCTATTTTTTTATCTTCTTCTTTTTCTTCTGTTAAAACAGCAAATTCAGTTCAATTCAATGTAAAAACGTTCGCTACAAAATACCTTTCTATTTGTTTTGCTTCATTGTCATATGCTTAAAGTGATTTTCCTTTTGTTTGTGTTGTTGAATCTAATAGAATACAAAACCAATATCAATTAGGTAAATAAAGACAAAGCGCAAACTGATGAAAAAATAGAAACGAGTGAGCTCGGTGATTACAATACAATTAAATGGTGATAGTGTAATGTACTGTTGCCACAATTCTGTGAAACATTAAAAAACCAATCGGCGGTTTACGAACCAGCATATAATGTAACAATGTTAGGCAATATAGCGTTTGATTCAAGTTATTGACCGTATTATTCGAAGCGATGGGGTGCTATACACAATGTAAATGTGTTATACCAATGTGTTATTATACCAATAACATTCTTTAACAGAATTCTGTCAAAGATGTCCGATTGAACAAATACAGAATAAAATTCGTCGAATTTAAGCAGTGGTTATTAATTGTACATTGTATTAATTTATTCTATTTCTTTTTACGCAAAAACTATCGCATAGTAAAACATTATCCCACCCTATATCTTCCACTGGTGAAATCCATAGTAAAACATTATCCTACCCTATATCTTCCACTGGTGAAATCCATATTAGCCCAGTATCAGTTTGGCCATTGCAGTAAGCCTTGCACTGCTTATCGCTATCAGTATAAATCGGGCGATTGAGTTATCGGGGCGAACATTTCTCGGTATACCATATATAGAGAATTCGACACGCGTGTTCATGTAATATTTAATTTTTTAAACGAGTTAATTAATTTTATATGAAACGAGTCTGTGTCCAGGACGCATTACATGCATTATGTTTGAAGCGCTTTGCGCCACAAAAAAAATAATTTCAGAAACATCTTTCTGAAAAGCTTTTAAATTATAATTTAGGTTTTTTTTATCAACAATGTTTTAATAATTGTCATAAAAACATTCATAATGATTTTTTTAAACTAAAAGCATTCCATAGGCCTAGAGTTTACGAAATTAATACACATCGAAGTCGGCGCTATTAAAAAGTGTACAGGTACTGGAAGTCACTGTCACTTTCAATAACACGGGCGCGTTTCTTGGGAGGGTGACCTAGGTGAAATTGAAACTCGATCCTTTGGCCTGTCACTGAGCCAGAAAATGTACTTTGTAATCCGCCATGAACCTACACGTGGTCGGCACCTTCTGATTGCGTGTGTGTCAGATAAGTTGAAGTGGAATTTAAACCTGCAGCTGTTGAATTTGTGTGAAGTATCCAGGATTCTCCTTGTGTTAATTTTTGTTGATGTGAGAATAGTTGTTTATGGATGAAATATTTGGTAAAGCCCGTGCCTCTGCAATCAATGCAAACAGTATATCCGGTAACTAGACAATCATTTTGTTTACAGAGATTGTAGTGAGTAGGAATGTGATCTGATTCCAAAGGTGAAAAGACTCATTTGCATGTTTATTGTACGTTGTTTAAATTGAACGGCAATATTGTATTATATAATATATTGTGATATTTTATATTTTTTCTCTTACAGCTAGATCAGATCATAACACACGCTTGGCACAAGCAGAGGAAGACATGTTTTCTGAACTGCATGAGTCTACAAGACCAAGTAAGTACACACATATCAAATCTGTAAAAGGCTTCAACATATTGTACAGTTACTTTTTTTAAATTTTATCATCAGTGATACTAACGATATTTTACATGCCCACAAATTATACATCTTTAACATATATACACATTCAACTGAAGTAGAAAGACGGAGTTTCCCGGCCTATCTGTTAAAGGTTCGCCATCTTATTGACATTTTATCTATACCAACCACAATAATGAACAACAAATATAGCATGTCTCCATCTTGTTTAACAGTTTGTATAGACCAACCACAATAATGAACAACAAATATAACATGTCTCCATCTTGTTTAACAGTTTGTCTATACCAACCATAACAATGAACAACAAATATAACATGTCTCCATCTTGTTGACAGTTTGTCTATACGAACCATAACAATGAACAACAAATGGAACATGTCTCCATCTTGTTGAAAGTTTGACTATACCAACCATAACAACGAACAACAAATATAACATGTCTCCATCTTGCTGACAGTTTGTCTATACCAACCATAACAATGAACAACAAATATAACATGTCTCCATCTTGTTGACAGTTTGTCTATACGAACCATAACAATGAACAACAAATAGAACATGTCTCCATCTTGTTGAAAGTTTGTCTATACGAACCATAACAACGAACAACAAATATAACATGTCTCCATCTTGTTGAAAGTTTGTCTATACGAACCATAACAATGAACAACAAATAGAACATGTCTCCATCTTGTTGAAAGTTTGACTATACCAACCACAATAATGAACAATAATCATAACATGTGAAAAAAACGTTACAATATCTACCATGACATATCTGGTTTGTGAAGCATAGTTATTTTGTTTATTCACCTGTCACTTAAATCTTCATGAAAGCAAAACAAAACCTGTTTACCGTTATAATTATGTTCTTATTTTTTACCTGGACAATAAGATACTGCTAAAATGATATTTGTTCTTTTATATAGCTGTTGTACTACGATCATATTAACATTTTAATAAAACCCTATATAACTGTCCAGATAAAATGGTAGCAAACATATCCAATTTCTTCAAACAAATTACCTAAGCCAATCTGACTTTTGAAATTACTTCAGTTTTATGCCAATTTATACAACACTCACGATGAATCTTCAATATGTACATAGCTATATTTGTTATACGAGTCAGGAGAATGTGTACAGGTACTGGAAGTTACTGTCACTTTCAATAATACGGGCGCGTTTCTTGGGAGGGTGACCTAGGTAAAATTGAAACTCGATGCTTCGGCCTGTCACTGAGCCAGAAAATGTACTTTGTAATCCGCCATGAACCTTGAACATTGGTGAAGATGACCAGTTACACGTGGTCGCCACTGATTGCGTGTGTGTCAGATAAGTTGAAGTGGAATTTAAGCCTTCAGCTGTTGAAATTGTGTGAAGTATCCAGGATTCTCTTTGTGTTGATTTGTGTTGCTGTGAGAATAGTTGTTTATGTATATCCTGTAACTAGACAACCGTTGTTTACAGAAGTTGTAGTGCGTAGGAATGTGATTTGATTCCAAAGGTGGCCAGACTCATTTGCATGTTTATTGTACGTTGTTTAAATTGAACGGCAATATTGCATGGAAACATCCTGTATTATATAATATATTGTGATATTTTATATTATTTCTCTTACAGCTAGATCAGAGCATAACACACGCTTTGCAAAAGAAGAGGAAGACATGTTTTCTGAACTGCATGAGTCTACAAGACCAAGTAAGTACACACATATCAAATCTGTAAAAGGCTTCAACATATTGTACACTCATTTGTTTTTGATTTTATCATCAGTGATACTAACGATATGTTAAATGCGAAATTAGCTTAATTCTCTTCAACAAATATAACACAGGACAAATGATACTAATCCTCCATATTTATGAAAAATGTTGATTGCTCACACACATTCCATAAAATAATTTTGTTTTAACTAAATAATGCATGACGATCGAATTTGCATGGAAAAATACTTCAATTATCTTCCGTTATATATTTTCCAGAAGAAAGAACCATAGATGTTGACAAACGGGGGAAAATGATCGGTAAGTTTTACAAAATATCACTGCATGTACGTCTAACAGATTTTCATTGAGTCTGGCGTATGTTCCGTCCGTGTGTTTTAATTGCTTCTTTCAAGAACCATAACGCATAGGGTCATGATGTTGGCAATATATCTTGCTGGAGAAACGACTTACCGCAAGGCAATTGAGATACATTACTCGGCGACAGGGCTTTTAAGCTTGCCAAATTTATATATCTCGAACCACATTCATAGTCATAGAGGTTAAGTGTGTTAAACAAACAAAAACAATTTCTTCTTAAAAGCACGGTGACCGAGAGCAATGATGTTTGGTCGGTATCTTATTGAGGTGATGGGTGATCGCATTTATAGCCAACCTGGTCTGAAGGTCAGGTAAGCTTATACTGTAGGTCGGAGTTCGCCTATGAAGGTTTCCTTTTGAAACTACAAGTCCTGAAAGGCTAAGTGGATTTTTGGCAAAACGGATTCAGTGTTGTATAAACGGCTTGTCCCTGGGGCAGTGGAGCGGGCCCATTTGGGGAAAACATTTTTGTTTAAAATCCTTCACTTTACATAGCCAATTATCAATTGTAATTACCAGCTTCGTATTTAAATATATATACCCGTCTGGTTATCTAGTTATCTAGTTCTACTTGCTCATCGTTATACGTAGTTATTCATATCCAGCTTTTACCTATCAGTTTTACTTTTTGAGAGCGATCAGAAAAACAAGATGGCTACCAGGCATCCGTCTTGGATTTTACGAGTTCAAGTTTGTTATCGCTATTTCTCAAAATCTGCTTGACAGATTTTTCTCAAATGTCATTTGAATATTTCCCTTGATCTCTGGTTGTGTATGTTTTATTTGAGACTGATCAGATATACAAATAGCCGACAGGCGGCCATCTTGTGTTTGACCGTTAAGACTTGTTACCTCTATTTCCTAGAAAGGACTTAAGATCTTTCTAAAATTTGATATCCAGGTTTCCGTTGGTCTATTACTGTGCATGTTTACTTTTGAGACTGATAGGAATAACAAAATGAATTACAGGCGGCTATCTTTGATTTTGACAGCTAAAATGTGTTATCTGTATTTTGTAGAAAGTACTGAAGAGGTCTTTTTCAAATTTGTTATGTAGATTCCACTTGGTATCTAGTTGTGCATGTTTTACCTTCGAGACTAATTAGGAAAACAAATGGCTGAAAGGAGGCCGCCTTGAATATTGACATTTTTGACATTATTCAGAATATTAGTTTAAGGTAGGTCCTCCCTTAATGGCGTATCAAACTCATTTTTTCTCAAATTGATAAAACAATGTCTATAGTGCACAAAAAGCCAATACAACACATTGCTATCTAATCAGTTTTCAAACCAGGGTATCTAGAGCATATGGGTCATCAGGCCTCTACGTTTAGAAGAAACAACCTTAAGCCGAGACAAATGTTCCATAAATTTGCGTTTATAAAATATATTTCTTTATAAAAAAAGCAGTTTGAAGAGACAATATATCTAATTATTAATTTGGGTATTATTAACTAGTTGTTTTATTATAATTCCTCACGCGAGATTTAAACGTGAAACATGTACTTTTTAAGCTATTCAAATAATTAAAATCACATTTTAAAAAACGTGGCTACATATATAAGTTATAAAGTACTTCTCGAGCTAGTGTATCTAGAATAAAGACCCATAAGGAACATGACTCGAAGAGGACAAATATACCTTACTTTGCTGGAAAGGAAATCTTCATAAAAAAAATCCTTAATATTTNTTGGGGGGGGGGGGGGGGGGGTGAGGACATAAACCATTTATATGTTAGTAAAATTTAATCTAGTCAGTGTTTTCTTGTTAAAAAGGTACATTCAAATTTTCCCGGACAATAAAACATTTTGTCAGTCTTTATATCCTATGAGTCATAAAAGTATCAAAATGTATACAAGCTTGATTATTTGCTGATTATATGTAGTTTAATTACAAAAAAGGGCAAAACTGATCCATATTGTAACAAATAAGATTGCGAAACAACCCGTCCGAATCGTGATGTCATATGACGGTGGACCTACTTTAAAGAAGGTAAAAGTCAGTTCTATGTTTGTATATTTGACTGCGAGTTTTCCTTTACTTTTCCTTGTAGATCAAACCGAAAACTGGATAAAGTGGAAACGGAAGCAAACTACATTCATAAAGACAAACGCCTTTAGCGTTGCAATCGATATCTTGAAAAAAACTAACTTGATTCTCATAAAAGGGAACTGTGGTGATGGTAAAAGCGTTCTGGCTATGGAGATAATGGCTTGGCTAATGGGTGATCGTGAAGAACAGTGCGAAGCTCAACATGATACAGTTAATCCGAGAAAGAAACCCCTTCTGCTTAAGGAGCTGAAGAGCTGGGACGAAATAGTATCATGTCATGCGAATTTAGCAATTTTCATTGATGATATTTTCGGGTATAGCTCTATATACAACGAAGATTTAGCATGGTGGAAGAAAATTTCCCCCTTTATTGTACCGGTTGTGGAAGGACATATAGTTACCGATGCAAATTGCATGATCTTAACTGTCAGAAACGATGTATATGCGGAACACGAATCTCTATTTTGTCATGAAGATGTATTAAGTAACGGACAGTGTGTCGTTGATTTGAGTCGTTCTCAAAGTTTACAAACAGAAGAAAAGAAAAACATTTTGAGATTGTATTTGCCGAAAAGTGTAGAATTATCGACAGACGATGAAACGAAAATCCTGCAATCCGATTTGCCATTTGGTTTTCCGGAGTGTTGTAGAATATTTCAATCGCTTGAAGACATGCATGACCATCCAAGAGAATATTTTATAAAACCGTTGGTTTACATCAAACACGCCATACGGGACAGATTTAGTAAAAGAAAACAATCGGCACTACTGTTCCTTCTATTAGCTACAGGAAAGGTTACCGAGAGTCAGTTAGACCCCGAAAGTTCCAACGCACAAGAAGATGAACTTGTAAAATTGGCGTTTAAAATATATGTTTCAGGTCACCCTATCCAAAGTTTAGGAACAAAACCTGAAGTTCAAACAAAACTTGATATAAAAGAAGGTTTGAAAGCAATGATAGGGTCTTTAGTGAAGTTAGAATCTAACACTTTTACATTTTACCATGACGTTGTGGAAGATGCTGTGGCTATCCTCTACGGAGAAACCACACCCCGTGGATTCCTTCGAAATGTCAACATAACTCATTTGCGTTATATAGTAACATTACAGGGTAATGAAAATGCAATTTATATTGGCGATGAATACATTGAGTGTTTGTATAATCGTATTTTGGATGAATTGAAGACCAGAGAAACAAAACAATATGACATTTTAATCACACTGCGACTATGGGATGATGAAAACTTTGTACGGAATTTCATTGCTTGGGTTGGAAAACAAGAAAGTGTACCAAATGACTTCTACTTTCAATGGACGACGAAGGAATGCGCGCCTACAATTAAGAAGGGTTTTCCAGCTCCCAATGAGAATAATGTAAACAACTACTACAGTTTCTTTGTATTCGTTGCAAAGTCAAACAAGGGTTTTTTATTACAGAAATTCATAGAACAAGGCAAATCAAATGCAATTCAAATGAAGCTTGCATTGGATCAAGCATGTGTATCAGGAAGTGAAAAATGTGCATTAAAACTTCTGGAAAACGGAATTACTCCTGATAGCAACACATGGATCAGTGTTGTAAAAGAGGGGTCACTTGTCTTGTTGAATAAACTGATAACTTTTGGCATATATGCTAATGCAACAACAGACGACAAAACCTTCAATGTTGAGAATGTCAATATGTTACAACTAGCGTGTCTTTATGAAAAAGAACAAATCGTCTTGCGTCTAGCACAGACTTTCCCAATTTTGAGAAAACACAGGGATAAGGATAATAACTCAATGTTCCATCACATTGCGATGACAAACAATTGTGATATGTTTAAGAAAATTACGACAGCACTATTTTTCGAATCACCCGATTTGATGTCCCTTTTACGAAGGGATGACAGAGTAACAGTGTTACACGTGGCATGCAAAAACCAACATCCATCATTCAATGGGAACAGGAGGGAAATGTGCATGCAAATTTACAAAACATGTCCGACGTTGATATCACAACGGGACAATCGGGGTATGCATTGCCTCCACGATGCAGCATGCTCCGGTGAGGTTGATTGTTTTATGTATTTAGACAATCTTGTAAATGAAGGTAAAAGTGAAACAGAAAGACAACATTACATTGAAACATTACTTACTAGTGCAGGCGAGACTGTACTTCACAAAGCAAGTGTCAATGGACAGAAAACTATGTGTTCACATCTATTGGAGACCTGTCCCTCATTGATATCACAACGGGACAATTATGGTAACCATTGCCTCCACAAAGCAGCATATTCCGGTGATGTTGATTGTTTTATGTATTTAGACAATCTTGTAAATGAAGGTAAAAGTGAAACAGTTAGACTACATTACATTGAAACATTACTTACTAGTAAGGGCGAGACTGTATTTCACCGAGCAAGTGCCAATGGAAAGAAAACTATGTGTTCACATCTACTGGAGACCTGTCCCTCATTGATATCACAACGGGACAATTATGGTAACCATTGCCTCCACAACGCAGCATCTTCCGGTGATGTTGATTGTTTTATGTATTTAGACAATCTTGTAAATGAAGGTAAAAGTGAAACAGATAGACTACATTACATTGAAACATTACTTACTAGTAAGGGCGAGACTGTATTTCACCGAGCAAGTGCCAATGGAAAGAAAACTATGTGTTCACATCTACTGGAGACCTGTCCCTCATTGATATCACAACGGGACAATTATGGTAACCATTGCCTCCACAACGCAGCATCTTCCGGTGATGTTGATTGTTTTATGTATTTAGACAATCTTGTAAATGAAGGTAAAAGTGAAACAGAAAGACTACATTACATTGAAACATTACTTACTAGTGCAGGCGAGACTGTACTTCACCTAGCAAGTCAAAATGGACAGAAAACTATGTGTTCACATCTATTGGAAACCTATCCGTCATTGATATCACAACGGGACAATTATGGTAACCATTGCCTCCACAAAGCAGCATTTTCCGGTGGTGTTGATTGTTTTATGTATTTAGACAATCTTGTAAATGAAGGTAAAAGTGAAACAGTAAGACTACATTACATTGAAACATTACTTACTAGTGCAGGCGAGACTGTACTTCACCTAGCAAGTCAAAATGGACAGAAAACTATGTGTTCACATCTATTGGAAACCTATCCGTCATTGATATCACAACGGGACAATTATGGTAACCATTGCCTCCACAAAGCAGCATTTTCCGGTGGTGTTGATTGTTTTATGTATTTAGACAATCTTGTAAATGAAGGTAAAAGTGAAACAGTAAGACTACATTACATTGAAACATTACTTACTAGTGCAGGCGAGACTGTACTTCACCTAGCAAGTCAAAATGGACAGAAAACTATGTGTTCACATCTATTGGAAACCTATCCGTCATTGATATCACAACGGGACAATTATGGTAACCATTGCCTCCACAAAGCAGCATTTTCCGGTGGTGTTGATTGTTTTATGTATTTAGACAATCTTGTAAATGAAGGTAAAAGTGAAACAGAAAGACTACATTACATTGAAACATTACTTACTAGTGCAGGCGAGACTGTACTTCACCTAGCAAGTCAAAATGGACAGAAAACTATGTGTTCACATCTATTGGAAACCTATCCGTCATTGATATCACAACGGGACAATTATGGTAACCATTGCCTCCACAAAGCAGCATTTTCCGGTGGTGTTGATTGTTTTATGTATTTAGACAATCTTGTAAATGAAGGTAAAAGTGAAACAGAAAGACTACATTACATTGAAACATTACTTACTAGTGCAGGCGAGACTGTACTTCACCTAGCAAGTCAAAATGGACAGAAAACTATGTGTTCACATCTATTGGAAACCTATCCGTCATTGATATCACAACGGGACAATTATGGTAACCATTGCCTCCACAAAGCAGCATTTTCCGGTGGTGTTGATTGTTTTATGTATTTAGACAATCTTGTAAATGAAGGTAAAAGTGAAACAGAAAGACTACATTACATTGAAACATTACTTACTAGTGCAGGCGAGACTGTACTTCACCTAGCAAGTCAAAATGGACAGAAAACTATGTGTTCACATCTATTGGAAACCTATCCGTCATTGATATCACAACGGGACAATTATGGTAACCATTGCCTCCACAAAGCAGCATTTTCCGGTGGTGTTGATTGTTTTATGTATTTAGACAATCTTGTAAATGAAGGTAAAAGTGAAACAGAAAGACTACATTACATTGAAACATTACTTACTAGTGCAGGCGAGACTGTACTTCACCTAGCAAGTCAAAATGGACAGAAAACTATGTGTTCACATCTATTGGAAACCTATCCGTCATTGATATCACAACGGGACAATTATGGTAACCATTGCCTCCACAAAGCAGCATTTTCCGGTGGTGTTGATTGTTTTATGTATTTAGACAATCTTGTAAATGAAGGTAAAAGTGAAACAGAAAGACTACATTACATTGAAACATTACTTACTAGTGCAGGCGAGACTGTACTTCACCTAGCAAGTCAAAATGGACAGAAAACTATGTGTTCACATCTATTGGAAACCTATCCGTCATTGATATCACAACGGGACAATTATGGTAACCATTGCCTCCACAAAGCAGCATTTTCCGGTGGTGTTGATTGTTTTATGTATTTAGACAATCTTGTAAATGAAGGTAAAAGTGAAACAGAAAGACTACATTACATTGAAACATTACTTACTAGTGCAGGCGAGACTGTACTTCACCTAGCAAGTCAAAATGGACAGAAAACTATGTGTTCACATCTATTGGAAACCTATCCGTCATTGATATCACAACGGGACAATTATGGTAACCATTGCCTCCACAAAGCAGCATTTTCCGGTGGTGTTGATTGTTTTATGTATTTAGACAATCTTGTAAATGAAGGTAAAAGTGAAACAGAAAGACTACATTACATTGAAACATTACTTACTAGTGCAGGCGAGACTGTACTTCACCTAGCAAGTCAAAATGGACAGAAAACTATGTGTTCACATCTATTGGAAACCTATCCGTCATTGATATCACAACGGGACAATTATGGTAACCATTGCCTCCACAAAGCAGCATTTTCCGGTGGTGTTGATTGTTTTATGTATTTAGACAATCTTGTAAATGAAGGTAAAAGTGAAACAGAAAGACTACATTACATTGAAACATTACTTACTAGTGCAGGCGAGACTGTACTTCACCTAGCAAGTCAAAATGGACAGAAAACTATGTGTTCACATCTATTGGAAACCTATCCGTCATTGATATCACAACGGGACAATTATGGTAACCATTGCCTCCACAAAGCAGCATTTTCCGGTGGTGTTGATTGTTTTATGTATTTAGACAATCTTGTAAATGAAGGTAAAAGTGAAACAGAAAGACTACATTACATTGAAACATTACTTACTAGTGCAGGCGAGACTGTACTTCACCTAGCAAGTCAAAATGGACAGAAAACTATGTGTTCACATCTATTGGAAACCTATCCGTCATTGATATCACAACGGGACAATTATGGTAACCATTGCCTCCACAAAGCAGCATTTTCCGGTGGTGTTGATTGTTTTATGTATTTAGACAATCTTGTAAATGAAGGTAAAAGTGAAACAGAAAGACTACATTACATTGAAACATTACTTACTAGTGCAGGCGAGACTGTACTTCACCTAGCAAGTCAAAATGGACAGAAAACTATGTGTTCACATCTATTGGAAACCTATCCGTCATTGATATCACAACGGGACAATTATGGTAACCATTGCCTCCACAAAGCAGCATTTTCCGGTGGTGTTGATTGTTTTATGTATTTAGACAATCTTGTAAATGAAGGTAAAAGTGAAACAGAAAGACTACATTACATTGAAACATTACTTACTAGTGCAGGCGAGACTGTACTTCACCTAGCAAGTCAAAATGGACAGAAAACTATGTGTTCACATCTATTGGAAACCTATCCGTCATTGATATCACAACGGGACAATTATGGTAACCATTGCCTCCACAAAGCAGCATTTTCCGGTGGTGTTGATTGTTTTATGTATTTAGACAATCTTGTAAATGAAGGTAAAAGTGAAACAGAAAGACTACATTACATTGAAACATTACTTACTAGTAAGGGCGAGACTGTACTTCACCGAGCAAGTCTCAATGGACAGAAAACTATGTGTACACGTCTATTGGAAACCTGTCCCTCATTGATATCACAACGGGACAATTATGGTAACCATTGCCTCCACATAGCAGCATTTTCCGGTGGTGTTGATTGTTTTATGTATTTAGAAAATCTTGTAAATAAAGGTAAAAGTGAAACAGAAAGACGACATTATATGGAAACATTACGTAATCATTTTGGCCAGACTGTACTTCACCGAGCAAGACTTAATGGACAGAAAACTATGTGTTCACATCTAACTAGTAAGGGCGAGACTGTACTTCACCGAGCAAGTCTCAATGGACAGAAAACTATGGGTACACGTCTATTGGAAACCTATCCCTCATTAATATCACAACGGGACAATTTTGGTAACCATTGACTCCACAATTCAGCATATTCCGGTGGTGCTGATTGTTTTATGTATTTAGAAAATCTTGTAAATAGTAAATGAAGGTAAAAGTGAAACAGAAAGACGACATTATATGGAAACATTACGTAATCATTTTGGCCAGACTGTACTTCACCGAGCAAGACTTAATGGACAGAAAACTATGTGTTCACATCTAACTAGTAAGGGCGAGACTGTACTTCACCGAGCAAGTGCCTATGGACAGAAAACTATGTGTACCCATCTTTGCCAGACGTATCCGTCATTGATATCTTAACTGGAAAATGAGGGTGACCATTGCCTCCACAAAGCAGCATATTCCGGTGATTTTGATTGTTTTATGCATTTAGACAATCTTGTAAATGAGGGTAAAAGTGAGACAGAAAGACGACATTATATTGAAACCCTAGCAAGTCAAAATGGACAGAAAACTATGTGTTCACATAGAAAGACGACATTATATGGAAACATTACGTAATCATTTTGGCCAGACTGTACTTCACCGAGCAAGACTTAATGGACAGAAAACTATGTGTACACGTCTATTGGAAACCTATCCCTCATTGATCTCACAACGGGACAATTTTGGTAACCATTGACTCCACAATTCAGCATATTCCGGTGGTGGTGATTGTTTTATGTATTTAGACAATCTTGTAAATGACGGTAAAAGAGAAACAGAGGTACTTCAATAAGGCGAGCCTGTACTTCACCTAGCAAGTCAAAATGGACAGAAAACTATGTGTCCACGTCTATTGGAAACCTATCCGTCATTGATATCACAACGGGACAACTTTGGTAACCATTGCCTCCACAATTCAGCATATTCCGGTGGTGCTGATTGTTTTATGTATTTAGAAAATCTTGTAAATAGTAAATGAAGGTAAAAGTGAAACAGTTCGACTACATTACATTGAAACATTCCTTACTAGTGCAGGCGAGACTGTCCTTCACCTAGCAAGTCAAAATGGAAAGAAAACTATGTGTACACATCTTTGCCAGACGTATCCGTCATTGATATCAGGCGAGACTGTACTTCACCGAGCAAGTGCCTATGGACAGAAAACTATGTGTATGCGTCTATTGGAAACCTATCCCTCATTAATATCACAACGGGACAATTTTGGTAACCATTGCCTCCACAATTCAGCATATTCCGGTGGTGTTGATTGTTTTATGTATTTAGACAATCTTGTAAATGAAGGTAAAAGTGAGACAGAAAGACGACATTATATTGAAACATTACATAATCATTTTGGCCAGACTGTACTTCACCGAGCAAGTGAAAATGGACAGAAAACTATGTGTACACATCTTTGCCAGACGTATCCGTCATTGATATCACAACAGGACAATATATGTAGTCGTTGTTCAGCATTTGACTTAACATCGAATGTAGGGAGATTTTTGTTAATTATTAGTTTTGTGGTCATTTTCTTATTATTTTGTTCGATTTTTTTTAAAGTGTCATAAGGTCTATGCTAAAACTTAGTATGCAAGTATATGATGACATTTTAAACTCTATTCAAGCATCGTTTGCGACTATGAGGTCAGTTTTGAGGTTTTCTGTGATGGTCCCCATTACAATTAAAACTTGTTGATATATGCATTTTATAATTTAGCAGTAGGCAGTTCCTCTGATAATAAGATCAAATAACTGCTAATTGAAAGATATTCTGATAAAACTTGCAGTATATCTGCATCATCGTTAAGTCACTGTGACCTTGAATTCGAAGTGAAAGGTCGTATACGTGCAAAGTTTTCAGGACTACCTTGTCCGGGTCGTAACTTTTATACCGTTAAAGGGGAAACCGAGGTTTTCGTTCACAAAATCAAATCTCTAGTTTTTATATATTTAGACAATCTTGTAAATGAAGGTGAAAGTGAAACAAAAAGACTACTTTACATGGAGACATTACTTACTAGTGCGGGCGAGACTATACTTCACCGCGCAAGTATAAATGGACAGAAAACACATCTATGTACACATCTATTTCTGACGTATTCGTCATTGATACAACAACAGGAAAATGGATGAAGGCATTGCCTTCAACATATATCTTATGTCGGTAATGTTGATTGTTTTATGTACTTAGACAATTTTGTTAATGAAGGTTAAAGTGAAACAGAAAGACTACAAGGACATTACTTACTAGATATGGCGACACTGTACTTCACTGAGCAAGTATCAATCGACAGAAAACTATGTGTACACATCTATGCCAGATGTATCCGTCGTTGACAATGGATGTAGGCGTTGCCTCCGCCATTCAGCAAAGTCCGAGTGTGCTGATTGTTTTATGAAATTAAGAAAATCTTTTGAATAAAGGCAAAAGTTATAATGGAGACTACAATTCATGGAGATATTATTAACAAGTGAGGACGAGACTGTTCTTTACCGAGCAAGTCTTAATGAAAAGAAAACTATGTGTTCACATCTAAGCCAGATGTATCCGTTTTTTATATAACAACGAGAAAATAGAGGTAGACTTTGCCTTCACGACGCAGCATATCCTGTGAATTTGATTGTTTCATTTTTTAGACAATCTTGTAAATGACGGTAAAAGAGAAACAGAGGTACTTCAATACATGGAGACATTATTTCCTGGTGACGACGGTTCTTTACTTCACCGGACAAGTATTAATGAAAAGAAAACTATGTGTACACATTTTACCAGGCATATCCGTCATTGATATCACAACGAGACAGTAGAGGTAGGCATTGCCTCCACTATGCAGCAATTTCCGGGACTATTGATTGTTTCATGTATTAAGACAATCTTGTAAATGAGGATAAAAATAAAACAAAAAGACAACATTACATGAACTCACTACTGGTAAATGGAATTGACACTGAATTTCAACGAGGATGTATAAATCAAAGAAGTTACGTGCACAGTTCTTCAGACATCTGTCTGTGCTATTAGACAAATAAGGTTGTCGTTTGTTCCAATATGCTGCATTTTAAAGTGAAGTGAATTGTTTATTTATTTAGACAATCTTTTTTACGACATAAAAGAGAAACAAGGACACTCAATTACACGGGGACACATGGCAGCAAGGCTTAATGTAACTATCTATACTAGACTTAATCTTCATTAATTACAACCAGACAATAGAGGTCGGCAATTCCTCACAGTAGCCTGTCCCGGTGATGTTGATTGTTAAGGTATTTAGACAATCAAATGAATGAAGATAAAAGTGTAACTGAGGGAGTTCAATTAATGGAAACCCTACTTACTAATGAAGGCGAGACGTACTTATATATATATTTATGTTTCGAGTTTCATTAACGTTTTATGATCAATTATATGTAATATATATATATGTTTCTACTTTGCTAGACAGATAAATGTTTTACTTTGGTAAACACGTATATGTAAATACTTGGTTGAATGTCCGTATGTGTCCACAATGTATAAATGATTATTGTTTCAAGATATATCTACTATGTTTATTGTATGTTTCTTAGAAGTTAATCAAATGAAGTTTCTCCTTAGCTAAACAGATAATTGATTCTTCAAAGTTTTATAGTTATATGTTCCCTCTATGTTAAACAGTTCTATGTTTCTTCTGTGTGAATGTTTAAAATATTACGTTTTCACTGTGATTAACAGATTGTTCAACGAGAAAATAGAGGTAGACTTTGCCTTCTATATATATTTAAACATTTTATCATATCAGTGCTACTTATGTGTTTGGTTGATATTGGTAACAAAATTCTATTATGTTTATATTTCAGCTAACTTTAACAACAATTGTGTTAAAGTTTGAAGAGAAATGAATTTCTGTATTATACCAGTTTTCTATATAAGATTTGTGAATACCTTCCTGTAGCCGGCGAAATTAATTTAGTAATGATGATTGTCAAAGTATCACATCAATGCTTAAAGACCCATGGAAATGCATGGCTGCATGATGGCATGGTATATACTGCATTTTCCCTTGTACCAATGTGTATTGTCTGGCTACAGGCAAATTGAAATTGACTTGGCGTGCACAATATACACTAGCATGAGTTTCATTTGTTTACAATGAACAATGCAACTAAATTTAAAGAAAAGTAGGATGATAAAAAATATATGCCCACTCCACCCGTAAACAAAATTGTACTCACCTGTTGTGTATGTCTTGAAGTAGTATTTGATGCGGCTTTAATGTAGGATTAGAAAATGCTAATTGCCAATAGGTTTTCTTCTGTCGTGCAATCAAACTCTTTAATACCCCCATTCAAAATATTGGGTTATAAAGTAATCGCTTTTTCCATAAAAAAAGGTTATGTGCAAGATATATCACGAACTCCTGTAAACATTTAGTTTCTATTAAGCATGGTATAGTAATATCGAATTATACATCTGAGAAGACTGAGTTGGTTATTGGTCAAATATCACACTTTACCATTTTTGAAGGGAAAAGAATGTGTACAATATATTTCACGCCATAGTATGGTAATATTACGTTCTACACCATATTCGATTTTGGTTATCATCTGTCAACGTTAAAGAATCGAAGGTGATGGGGGCAAAGCGTCAGCTTGTAGTAAAGGGCTTGTGTATAAGATATCTCATGAACCCCTGAATACATTAAATTCATATTTAGAAACCTTAGCTTTTAGTTATTTGGAGTTCTAAACATGGTAAGAGTTAAGCGGTCAACGATCAAGTTTAAAAGGTCAAAGGCCATGGCAAAGCAGCGGGTAGGAGGAAGGGGTATATCTGCTGCAGCATCCACTCAGTTTGATTTTTTGATTTTTATCGCTTATAAATTCGTTCCAAATACAATCATGTTTAATCTTGGTGCATCCTAATTTTTTTCGTCTGATCATCTGTTTTTAGTCAAAACAAAACGAAATGGATGAAATATTTTACACTGATATTTACTGTATATATCCCACGACGTAATATTTCTTATATGGAATTTGTTGTTTTTTATGTTGTTTACATTAGTTGATTACACATTGTATTTTTTCAACGGCACACTTTATTTACCCT